GTGGAAGCACCTTCAGTGAGGATCACAGTGGATTCCTTGGAATTCTGCACCAGCCCTGGGATTTGCTGGTGTTCCAAGCAGGCCTGTTCCACCTTTGGGTTTCCTTGTTTGTTGGATCTTTCATTTCTTTTGCCTTAATAGCCCGAGGTGACTTAATCAGGCTTGAATTTTCACAAAAAGAGGGTTTGCATGGCTGGAAATTCAGGGAGATGATGATGATCATCCCAGGGAATGCAATTCCCATCCCATGCTCACAGCATGACCCACTCAAGCCTCCTTTCAAAGCCTTTTTTTCCTTCTTTTTTTTTTTTTTCTTTTTTGGCAACAGGCTTTACCCAAAGCATCCCCTGGGGCTCCCCTCTTCACAGCTCAGCAGGTTTAATCCATGCCTGGAATTCAGGGGCTTCTGAGCAACAAATGGCACCTTTGCGCTTTTAAAAAAATAATTTATTACAATGAAGTGAGGGAAAAGAAGGGATGTGAAGGTGTGTTTTTCCCAAGGGGTGGCTGATTGCAGGATTTGGGGTGGAAGGACCTTGATGTCCACATGAAGAGGGCTCTGGCTGGGGGAGGAATGTGTAATTTTTTACTGTTTAAGAGCCTCACTTGGTGTTGGGGTGTTGGGAGTGATGCTGGTTGTGGTTTGCCCTTCCTCCCCCAGCCCCTCCCTGACTCATCCAGCCCTGAATCACCCTCCTGCTCTGCTGAGATCATCTCCAAGGGCTTGGGACATACCCAGCACCCCTCCAGCAGCCCCTGGGGCATCCTCTGGGCTCCTGCCCTGCCCTGCTGCCCCCCACTGAACATTAATTAACCCTTCCACCCTTGTGGCATTGCCCAGCACAGAGTCCCTGGGGCTGAACCACAGAGGGATCTGCCCCAGTGAAGCAGGGACCATGTCCCCCCCTTCCCTAAACTAAGCCAGGCTGTGGTGGCATTCCTGGGAAGGGCTCTGCTCCTTTTGTTCAGGCTGGGTTTTGGGCACAGGCTCAATAAGGCAGGCAGGAGCTGCCCGGGGGGATTTGGGATTTGCTCCATGACTCTCTCTTCTCACCCTGAGCAATCAGATCTGGCACAGGAGACCTTTCACCCTTCCTGAAAAGAAAGGGAATTGATGCTCTCTCCCGTGGAGGGAGAGTCTGTCCTGCCCTTTGTCTCAGACATTTTGGCAACCCCTTTTCCCCAGGTTTCATTCACTCACCTATAAATAAACTCCTGAAAACACCTCTGCAGGTGATAATTAATCTGAGGGCTCTGTGGCTGCTCCAGCTGAAACTGCCTGGGATTGCTGGTGCCAGCTCCAGTGCCAGGGATCCAAACTGCCCTGGGATGGGACATCTGCAGTGCCAAACCCTCTGGGATGCTGCAGAACAGCTCTGGGGCATGATGCAGGGGCCAAAGCATCTTCTGGACCCCTTCCCATGCTTGCTCCCACAGCATTATCCCTGCACTGCTCCCCAGGCTGCACCATCTCAGCTGCAATCCCAAAGCCACTGATTTTTGCACATGGGTTTGGGGTGGGTTTGGGTGGTTTTGGTTAAATGAGGCTGGTGCTGCTCCTGGCAGGTCGGTTTCCCTCATCCACACTCCTCAGGGAGGTGGGATGCACTCCTCATCTTCCCAATGGTTTCCCACAGTGGGAAATGAGCTCCTGGAAAACCTCCCCAAACTGGAGTCGTGCCTGGGTACCAGCAGCAGTGAGTATTTGCTTTTTACAAAGCCACCCAAAAGGTAGATTAGCAAATAAATGAATTAAATTATTAATTGCAGGTCTGAGTGAGAGCATCCAAGTGAGAGTGTCCAGGGCAAGGGACCCACCTGTGGGTGGAGGTAAAGAAGGTCCCCAGGTAAGGAAGATGGAGTGTTCCTGTGCCTGGGAATAACCAGGATATTTATTTATAAGTACATAAATATTTATTAATATAAAATTTATTTTAGTATTTACAAAGATATAAATATTTATTTATAAATTCCTCTCCAAGGGGCAATGGCTTTCGGCTGACAGAAAATAGGTTTAGATGGAATATTAGGAAGAAATTCTTCCCTCTGAGGGTGAATGAGGTTTCCCAGGGAAGCTGTGGCTGCCCCTAGAGCCCTGGAAATGTCCAAGGCCAGGTTGGACAGGGCTTGCACACCCTGGTGTGTCCCTGTGGGCCAGGGGTCTCCATGGACCCCCACACTGGGGAGCAGGAGGAGCCCGAGATCCACCCAGAGCTCCCAGGGCAGCTGTGGGAAAACCTCCCTGTTGCCCTTGAGGACTGGGCTGAGGCTGAGAAACCCTGTGGCTGCAGAAAAATGCCAGCAATTCCTGTCATTTCCCGTGGTCTGGCTGGTGGGAAGCAGGGAGAGGATGCTGGCTGTGTCCTGCCCCCAGGGCCAGGGCTGCTGTGTCCCCCAGGACACCCCAGCCCAAAACCAGAGGGCTTGGGGGCCATAATTTGCAGCTGAGCTGGGTCTGAGCAGTCCAGAAGAGCTGGGAAGCAGCACTGGCTCTTTCCCAGACTTACTGGGTGTTGTAATCCAGGGGGAAATAAGACAAACACTCAAAAGGTCCCTGGGTGGGAGCAGAAATCACCAGCTCTGGGTGGGGGGAGCTGCTGAGGTGGGAGGTGTTTGTACCCCCGTTCTTCCAAGGGCAGTGAGGGCGTTTTGGCTGCTGCTTTTTCCCTGAGATTTGAAGGATCTGCTGGCAAAGCTCAGGCTGCAGTGCCTGGGGCTCTGAGGAGCTCGGGGAGAGGAGCAATGGCTGGCCCTGCCTCAGCTTCCCCCTCTGGGAAGTGCCCCAGTGTCAGCTCTGGGGCTTTAATCTGGGCTGTGGCTGTGGATTTCTCCATCTCCCAGCAAGGGAAGCTGGGCTGGAGGCTCTGCCCTGGTTTTTGGCTCCCCATTGAGGGGCAATAAGAAGGGACATCATCCCTAATTAACCCTTTCTGGGCAGGTGTGGGGGGCCCGAGATGTGGTGAGGATCCAGCTCCTTCCTCTGAGCCACAGCCTCTTGTCCAAAGTGCTTTGGTTCCTAATTGGCTCTGGGAACCCTCTCCTGGCTGTGTCCATACTCCTGGAGCACCTGGCTGGGGGATGAACGAGTGCCCCTGGGGTTCCAGCCACCCCCCTGGGCTGCCTTGCTGGGAAGGGTGGCCTTGTCCCTGCTCCTGCCTCTGGGTGATCCCAGAGTGGCCTCTGCTGGGCACAGGGAGGCTTCTCCAGCCCTGGCCCTGCACATTCCTTCTCCAGGGGAAAATCAAGAGCAGGATAAAGCAGTGAGGGTGAGGAGAGTGAAGGGAGGAAGAGGATTCCTGGATTCTGCTGCTGTTTTTCTCTGGCTGTGTTAAAAATATTTCTGAAATGAAATAAGTCATGGGATGGGCATTTTAAAACTTCCTTCCTTTCAGTTTTACTTCCCCTGCACAAGGGGGTTGGAGCTGCAATTGGGATATTTTTATTTTTATTTTTTTTCTCAGTTGTGCTCCTCTGATCTGAAATTCAAGAGCTCTCCCCTTGTCCATGCAGAGAAAGTCACTGGGTTGATCCAGAGCCAGTTTGCAGCAGGGCACTCGGAGAACTTCCCCTCAAGGACATTCTGAAGCGGGGTTTTTTTGGCATTGGACACTGCTGGGAGCCAGGGATGCTCAGAGAGGACTGGAGCCACCATGGCTGTGCTGTGACAGCCCTGGGAGGTCTGCAGGGTCTCCTTTCCAGCTGTCACCAGCGCCACACGCACAGCCATTGCTGTCACCTCAGGAAGGTGTGGAGCTGCAGGAGCTGCATTTCCAAGCAGCTCAGCCCTCACACACCATGGGGAGTCTGCACAGCCCAAAGAAAGGTCTCCTTCTGTTTGTGGTGGGCAGGAGGAGGGGAAGAAAAGTGCTGGGCAGGTTGTGGGCAGGGTGGGTGTCCAGGAGATTTGGGCACTGCAGTGGGGACAGGCCGAGGACAGAGACCGCCTTGGACTTCACAGATCCCCCTCTGAAATCCCTGCTTTTCCAAACTGCCAGAGAAAAGAGCAGCAGCAGGTGCTCAGCAGGACACCTGTGCTGCCCTGGTGCACTGGGATCCCCCAGCTCAGAGCCTGGAATATTCACCTGGGAGCTGTGGCAGCCTCAGGATGTCACCCCTCAGCAAGGACCAGGTCACCGGGCAGCAGAGACAGGAATGCTGAGAAGGGGCTTTGTGTATCAAGGTGGCTTTCACACCGTGGGGGATTCAATCTGTCCCTTCTCCAGCTCTTTTTCCATGAACAAACAAGCATCCTCCCCATAATTCTCAAGACAGAAAACACATCAGCCTTTACTTTTGGTATTTGGGGTTTATTTTTAGGGCTGGGGGTTGGGGTCCTTGCCTGAGCATCACCTACAAAGAGCAAATCAATTGTGGGGGTTTATAAGCAATGCTCACAAAGATCTCCTCTTTGGAGAGGTGAGCTCCAGCTACAGCACATCTGCCTGATGGGCAGTTTGGGGGAAACACCAGTGGTTTTCCAGCAGCTTGATATTGTTCAGGGTCTTGCAAACCCATGAAGATGTGCATAGAGCTTGGTTTGTGTGACAGGAACTGTGAGTGTACAACATTTGCCTCTCCTACAACAGCAGCCACACAGAGATTTCAAATAGCAATCTGACCAGATGGTTCTCCTAAAGTCCTCCAAAACCCCCACCTATCTCTGCTGCAGGTGGAGTTTAAAAGAAAAAGTCACTGAGTCCTCTGCACACTGACAAGTGGAAGCCAGGGGCCCGGGCATTTCACACTCAGACCTTCCCCAGTGACTGCAGCACTCCTACACAACGCATTTTTAACAACCCATTCTTAATTAAAAGGCCAAAATTAAAGGCCAAAATAGATCAGTGGAACAGCCCTTCTCGTGCTGCTGTTTCAAAGGATCCCTATCATTCCTTGGCTGAAAATCACAGTGTTTCATTCATTGCAGTGAAATTCGAGCTGTTCCCTGACCCCGCTGCCGCGTCTGGAGCAGGAGCTCGGTCACCCACCACCGTCCCCAGGTGCTAGTGGGACTTGGCTTTGGTGGCCTTGCCTGTCCTGCCCTTCTTGTAGCAGCACCTGCGGCAGCAGCAGAGGCAGCACTTGAAGGAGATGAAGAGGAAGAGGAAGGTGATGGCGGCCAGGAAGGCGATGACGTCCAGCGAGTGGTACTGCACCCAGTTGAGGTCGTGGGCGGCGGGGCGCAGGTGAGGGGCCCCCTTGTGCCTCATCACAAACTCCACCCAGTGCACAGCCAGGTCCAGAGGGTGGATGGGTCTGTCCAGGTGCAGGTCGGAGAGGCGCTGGATGTTCTCCTTGTACCTGCCGAGAGAACGTGGAACCCTTTGAACCCCTCGGGGAAATCCCTGGAAGGATTCGCCATAGAGTCTCCACCCAGGCTGAAAGAGAAGATTTCCCTCCCCATGGAGCCTTGCAACACTGATCCACCCCTGTTCCTTCCCCCATGTGTCCCAAATTCTCCTGGTTTCTCCTTTCCGTGTTTCCTCATTGGTTGTGGTACCCCTGTTGGCTGGCCCTGTCTGCCTTGTAGAGCACTGCCCTCAGACCATTGACCCCATAGCTAACCTAGTGCAGAGCACATGGACAGGGCTTTGTCCCTGATTTCCTCTTCATCGTTGTCCTAGATTGCCAAGCAAACTGTGCTCCATTTGCCATCTGGATGGCAGCTGTCTTCTGTTCACAGCTGTCATGCTGTCACTGCATGGCTGATAAGAACTACAGCATCCCACTGGCAGATGTGAGCCCAGAGGGAGGAGCCAAGCATTCCTAACTGGATATAATCTGAGATCCTGGGACAGCAAGACAGCTTCTCCACTGGATTTTCCAGAGGAACAGCAGCTGCCTCTTCCACTGGATCTTCAGAGGAAAACTCCACCCTTCTACAGGATCCATGCACCAACATAACCACCCCTGACACTGCAGGAGGGCTGCAGCCACAATTCCAATTGGACTGCTGCCAACACCCTGACCCACAGGGTTGCTCCAAACCCCATCCAGGACACTTCCAAGGATGGGGCAGTCACAGCTTTTGTGCTACTGAGCCCCTTGAGAAGGATAATGGCAAAGTTAGAGGCCCAGCAAGTGCTGGTTAGAGGCCCAGGAAAAAAAAAAAAAAAAAGAAAGAAAGAGGGAAAGCTTAGTTTGAGCTCTCAGCAGAATCTCTGGGGTGAAGGTCTCTGGCTGAAAGGGGAGGCTGGGGGTGGAAAAGCTGGCCAGCTCAGCTTTTCCAGCTGCATTATTATTGGTTTTGTTAGATGTAGTGTTACAGTGTTACAATAATAATTATTATTAATAATTAAATTGCCATTAAATATGGCAATTTAATTGCCATAAAAATTGGGTAGGAAACAATGCCAGTAAGCTGCTATTTCTCAGGAATGTGGTGGAGTTTCTTAGTCCTTGGCACCCTCAAATGGGAGCAGGGAAGAGTTCTTGTCTGAAAGAAATCTCTGTGCTGCCTTTAAGCCCCTTGGGTGTGCTGACTGCAGCCCTGTGATATTCCCTGAGCCTCCTCAGTGCATCCCTGCAGGTGCCTCCTGCTCTGTGCTGGGAGTGTCCAGCCTTGCTGAGCCAGGCAAGGCTCTCTGTGCTCACAGAATTCCTCATGAGCACTGAGGGGAGGGAAAAATGCCTGAGAAAACTCACCTGTGAGATAAATGAGTGATAAATATGTTTGATATTTAACCCCACTGACCTGTGTCACCAGAGATTTGGGAACAAAAGCTGCTTGCCACTTGTGTCAAATCCCTCTCTGTCACTGCCTTGGCTTTAAGAAGGTGACACAATTTTTCTGGAAACTTGATTTCTTCCATTGCATTCCCAGCCCATCTCCCCTGCTCCCTGCAGCCTCCCTTCTCTTGTCTACTGAAGGGGACAGCCTGGAGTTAACCCAGGGTGTGCATCAGCTTCTCCACGGAAGCCGCTGCTCTCAAATCCAAACTTTTGATCCAAGGAGCCATTTAGGAAGAGAAAAACACCCTGTTAAGCTGGAAGTGAACGTGCTGGGGCTGCACAGTAAGAAGGGGGAAGGCAGTGCCTCTGGTACTGACTTTTTGTCGTTGATCACAGCTTTCAGGGCGTTGGAGATGTCAGTGGAAGTCATCTCCAGGATGTTGAGGGTCAGCCCTGCTCCCCGGGACTCGACTCGCTTGGCGTTGTCCATCTGGTCCCCAAAGAGAGGCATCAGCACCATGGGCACTGCGTTGCAGATTCCCTCATAAACGCCGTGGGAGCCTCCGTGGGTGATGAAGGCACGAGTCTTGGGGTGGGCTGTGGAGGGAAGCACAGGCTTGTGTCAGCTCCTGGAATTACTGACTCCCAGCAACACGTCCCTGGGGAAAGAACATGCAGCAAAAAGGGCCGTGGTTGGGGTAAATCAAGGATTTGGGGCTGTTGTGAGAGCATCATCCCTCATGGGCAGACTTAGGGATTGGAACTTTGTAGGCCTCTGTCTTGGTTTGGGGTAATCCTCCAACTTTAGGATTAAACCAGAGCCAGGAGAGGTTAGAAAGGATGTTACCACCAATTAGTTTTTCACCATCTCTTCCATGGTAGTGAAGGTGTCTCACAGCTGAACCTGTTCTGTTACCAGCAAGTCCTGGCAACAATTCCACCATTTTAAAAGCCCAAAGACCTGTCTGGAAGCGCTCCCTTGAGGACCATGAAGTTTCTTTTCAGGCCAGAAGACAGGACAAAACCCCAGCTGGCTGTTGAGACTGCTTAGTCAAACATAAAGACTCATCTTTGACTGGTACTGGAGTGTTGGAAAGCCTTTTCAAACAGAGCTGTGTCATAATTCGGCAATTCCCAGCCAAATTCCTAACGGACCAGCTCCAGCTCCACCAGCAAAGGAAGGTTTGTGGCCCACAGTGCTGGGTCAGGGGATGGTAACTCCCACCTGACCCACAGATGATGCCCTTGGGGCCTCACCACAGCAGCCTGGTGTCAGCCCAGGGTGTCAGACGTACCCAGGAGGTCATTCTGAGGCAGCCACTTGACGAGCTTCACGTTCTTGGGCAGGTTGGGGGGTGCCTTGCCTGTGTAGCGCCAGAAGACCTGGCAGGGGAAGCAAAGCCCACGTCAGATCCCAGCAGAAGGGAGGGAGGAGCTGAGAGCAGCGTGGAGCTGCTCTGCTGGCAGGGGAAGAGGGGATTAGTACCGTCTGAGGGACTGCTCCCAAGCCCTCTGCGATTTCCATGGCTTTCTTCATGGGAATCTCGGATACCATGGAGCCCAGCGAGAAGACAACGATGCCGTGTTCTCCAGAGGCGTTCACCATGGCTTCAAATTCCTGCCAAAGGAAAGCAAGCCTTTAGTCAAAGCCTTTTCTCTTGTCAGGGGCTGGAATTGCTGCCACCTTCCCACAGAACTCTCTGGAAAGGCAACAGAACAAGCGGTGAGCACGACAAAACTGGGACCAGGAAAACGAGTTGTTATTGACAGTTCTGCATCCAAAGCTGCACGGCCAGCAGGTCCAGGGATGGGATTCTCCCCCTCTTGGGAGACCACACCTGGATCCTGCATCCAGCTCTGGAATCATCAGCATGAGAAGGACATGGGACTGTGGGAGCAAGTCCAGAGGAGAACCATGGAGTTGACAAGGAGTCAGGAGCACCTCCCTTATGGGGACAGGCTGGGACATCCTGTTCATCCTGGAGCAGAGAAGACTTTTGTGTGGAGACCTCAGAGGCCCTTTCCAGTGCCTGAAGAAGCCCAGAAGGAAGCTGGAGAAGGACTCTTCATGAAGAACTGGAGTGATGGGACAGGGAGCAATGGGTTCAAACCAAAAGAGGGGAAATTCGTGTTAGGTATCAGGAAGAAATTCTCTCTGAGAGTGGGGAGGCCTCACAGGCTTCTGGCACAGGGTGCCCAGAGAAGCTGTGGCTCCCCCTGGATCCCTGGAATTGTCCAAGGGGAGGAGGGATGGGGTTTGGAGCCACCTGGGATAGTGGAAAAGTGTCCCTGCCCACAGCAGGGGATTGGACTCGATAGGCTTTAACATCCCTTCCAATCCAACCTGTCCTATGATCCTAAAGAAAATGAGTCTTTGGGAAGTAAAAATGGGCACATTTAACCCAAGCCTGGATTCAGAGCTGATGTTCTTCTTTCCAGGCCACGCAGCTACAAGAGAGAATTAAAATCCTGGAAGACGGTTCTGACAGCAGGTATCTCAAATTTCTAATATCTGGATTTATTGTATCTGCTTTGGGTGTGATAACACTGAACTGCTGCCAGTTTTGTCTCTCTTTTGTTTGAGTGATTTAGAAGGAGATCTAGCACTGGAATCCAGGAACAAAAAGATTCCAATGAAGCAGAAAAAAACAGCCCAAGGCTGGAGCAAAAATTCTTTGAAACAGAAAAATGTTTGGTTGAGCCAAGGAAGGAAAGGCAAAACTGGAGGAAATTGTTGCAGGCATCAGAGTTAAATAAGGGAGAAACAATGAACTAAATGTTTCTGTAAGTCTGGCAATTGCCATGTTATCTCTGGGATCTGAGGGGATAACCAGAGAACCATGGAATGCTTTGGGTTGGAAGGGACTTTATAGATTGTCTCATTCCAACTCCCTGCCATGGGCAGGGACAACAGAGACTGACTCTGTCAGTTTATGCTCTTTTCCATATTTTTGTGGCTGTCTCAAGGCGTATTTAATCCTATTTATGTTCTGTGGGACATCAGTTTTACATTTTTTTTTAGATATTTTTGAGTTCCAAGGTCCGACTTTGTGCTCAGAAGTTCTCCTGCTATGAGGAAACTCTTTGCAGCCCTGCTTTGGGGATATGCAGGTTATTTTAGTAGCGGTTTTAATCAGCACCTGCTCATACTATTACAAAATATCTGCAGTGGAGACTCATGCAAAAAATAAGAGAATTAGGAGGATTTCTTAATGGAAAGTGGGAGATATCCCATACTGAGAAATTTTGGCACAGTTGAAGCAAAATACAGTTGCAGTACAGAGCATTTAACACAAAAGTGGCAGTGGTGCTGCTTCACTGGTGGTGGGGATTTAATTCCAGTCTGCCTGAACTGTCTGAAGTTCATGGAACATCCTCAGTTGGAAGAGACCCACGAGGTTCATTCATCCAACCCCTGTCCCTGCACAGACACCCCAACAATCCCACCCTGGGCATCCCTGGGAGCATTGTCCAAACACTCCTGGAGCTCTGGCAGCCTCGGGGCTGTGCCCATTCCCTGGGGAGCCTAGGCACAGCCCAGCACCCTCTGGGAGGAGAATCTTTTCCTAAAATGCAACCTAAACATCCCCAACACAACTCCAGCCATTCCCTCCGGTGCTGTTCCTGGCCACAGAGAGCAGAGATTGGAGCTGTCCCTCCACTGCCCTCTTAAGAAAGCTAGAGACAGGAAAAAGGAAAAGGGAATGGGAATGCCGAGGTGCCCCACAAAGTAACTTTTCCCTCATTGTTGAAGGAATGCAGCGGTGTAGAATGCACTCCCAGCCACTTCCACCCGGCATCCTTTATTCCAGCCTGGGAGCTCCATCTCCTGGAGAGAGCTCACAGTGCACCCACAGCTGAACTCGTGGGAAGAAAACGGGAACTAACCTGGGATAATTTGTTTTCCCGAGTGCAGCCTATGCCTCCGACCAAGACCATGTTGGGCATGAGGGGCCTGGGGTACTCAAAGACAAAGTCGTATTTCATGAGCCAAACAGCGGCGTGGCTGAACAGCTCGGGCACGGTCGCCTCCCGCTGCAGGAACTCCCGGATCAAGGGATCATAGGGGGAATAAAGGACAGAGCAGGCCAGGGAGCTGCCCAAGGTGGCCAGGAGGTTGCCCAGGCGCTTCCAGAAGGACATGCGGTCCGTGGAGCGTGTGAAGAACCGCGGGACATAGGAAGGAGGGCTGGGACACATTGTGGCCTGAAATTCCACGCTGCACGGCAGCCCCCGCAGGAAGTACACGGAGGGCAGGGACAGATGTTCTGCCAGTATCTGCCCACATGGGAAAAAGGGATCCATAAAGATGGCATCAAATTTGCTTCCTTCGAGGTAATGGATCAGCTCTTTCTCAGACAGCAGACGCTTGCAGGAATCCAAGAACATGCTTGTAAAATTGGCAATTTTGGACAGTTTTTTCAAGAAGGGTTGAGGTGTGAAACTCCTGTGGCCCATCTCTTTAAACTCTGCCTCCACAAACTCCTTGGTGTAGGACACAGGGTAGGTTTTCAAGGTGTAAATTGGGGATGAATAGATCCGCAAATTTATCTCCGGCGCAACCACCACGATTTCGTGCCCCTTGTCCCTGAGCTTCTCTATGATTGGGAGTGTGCTGAGCCAGTGGCTGCCGTCAATGGGTATGACCAAGAGCTTCCCACCTTCACCAGAGGTCCACAGCAGCAGGAAAAACACAGCCCAAGAGGCAAGAGAAAGAAATCCTGGCTTTGGAGAAACCATTTCCCTGGTGCCACTAGCGAAGTTATAAACGGCGGTGAAACTGTGGCCGGGGACAAGGAATGAATCACGGGGTGCTTTCCACTTGAATTTTAACTAAGGTGGGTTTTTAATTTTTAACAGGCAGAAATTGGGGTAATTTTTAACTGTGGGTAAATATTGGGTTTATCATCTGTTCACAGAGAAGGCTTTCAGTGAGTGGCTGCCATGAGGTGAAGCAGAATGTTTGGACTGACACCAGGAGGGAGGAGTGACCAACAGCCTGTGGGGCTGAGAGGCTGAATGAGAGCCATGAATGGGTTGACCAGCAATCACTACATCATTAACATCCAATTAATGATCAACCCCCTACCTTGAGTCCACTGCAATGATTGGACATGGAACTCGGCACAAATCTGACCTTTGGATTGCTTTGTGCCCCCAGAGTGTAACCAAGAAGATTGACAGAGGTTTGATAGAGTGGGTTGTAAAGGTTTATCGCCAGATTTGTTGCTCTATCACAGCAGTTATCAAAGTCAAAGCCCTGAATTTACAGTAGTAAATGTATTGTAAGCAGAGCAATAACTCCTGCTGTCACACACCACAGTGTCTGAAAGCAGAATAGCCTGGGGATATCTGCACTATTTGCACAGCACGAGGGGAATCTGAACAAGGGTCAGTAGTTACAATCCTGAAGGCTTCCTTTCCCAACCATCCTCTTATTTGCTATCTTGCACTGCTGCTTGCACAAATCCAGAAGCAGCAGAGCTCCCTCTGCTGTCTTTGCACACCCCTGGTTTTGGGCTGTTGGTACACATGGAATATCCCCAGTTAGAATTTCCTGACCCACAGGGATCATCGATCCAACCCGTGGCCCTGCACGGACACCCCAACAATCCCACCCTGTGAATCCCCGAGAGCAATGTCCAAACCCTCCTGGAGCTCTGGCAGCCTTGGGGCTGTGCACATTCCCTGGGGAGCCTGGTCAGTGCCCAGCTCTCTCCGGGGGAAGAACCTTTTCCAAAAACCAGGCTGATCCCCTCTCCTGATGTTCTGTGCTTCACCCAGCTTCATGTTCAGTGGCACAGCAAAAGTGCCTGGGTATATCCACAGAGTTAATTCTATATTTCCAATTTTTGTTCAGTCAAGTCTCCTACAATTAACTGGCATTCCACATTCCTTAGGGATATTAAATCCTCTGACCTAGAATTATTTTGAGTGGACATAGAACGTGCCACGAGTGATGGTGACAACTCGACCTGAGCTCTCCTGGAGAAAAACCATTCAGCAAGCCTTGTGATCATCTCAAAATCTAAGATTCCCACTCCCATGCCATCCTGGGATTTGATCACACCCTGCCTAAAGCACACAAATATCATCATAGGAAACACTTAAAGAAAGCACATGCTGAACAAGCACCCTCAGGGTAAGCAACGACAAACCTTTGAGAGTGGCTTCTTCTGCAGACAGTTGATGCCTCCAACATAGACCATGTTGGGCATGATGGGGCGCGGATACTCAAAAACAAAGTCGTATCTCATCAGCCACACTGATGCTTGGCTGAACAGCTCCTGTATCGTCACATCCCTCTGCAGGAACTCGGAGGCCAAGCTCTCGTATTTCAAATAAAACAGGTGGCAAAGCAAAGGCTCTGAGAGCCCAATCAGGAAGTTCTTCACTCGCTCTGGGAATGCCATGTGGTCGGAAAGAGACGATAAAGTCTTGGGCACGTAGGATACAGGGCTGGGAGACTGCGCAGCTTTGTAGTCTAAGGTGCAAGGAAGACCACGCATGAAGTACACAGAGGGGAGTGAGAGATACTCAGCCAGAATGGGCCCACAGGGCAGCACAGGGTCCATCATGATGGCATCGAATTTGCTCTCCTGGAGGTACTTCATGAGCTCTTTGTCAGAGAAGAGATGCCGACAAGCAGAAGTGAACATGTTGGTCAGCTCTGTGATGTTGCTGAGTAAAAATGAGAGCGTTAGGGTCTCAAAGCTATTTTCACCCAGCTTCTGGTAGTATTGGTCCACAAACTCCTGGGTGTAAGGCACTGAATACGTTTTGATGGTGAAGGACTGGGAGCTTTTCAAGAGTAAGGCAGCATCAGGAACCACGGCCACGATTTCGTGCCCCTTCTCCCAGAGTTTCTCCAGGACCATCCGCATGCTCAGCCAGTGACTTCCATCCTGAGGCACCACCAAGAGCTTCCCACCATCTGCCAGACTCCAGAAAGCAAGGAAAAGCACAAGCCCAGCGCGTACCTGGTGCCTCCACATAACTGTCATGGGGCAGGCAAAGAAACTAGCTGCTCCTCAGTAGCATATGAAGAAAAATCTCCTCATATCTCATTTATATTGCGGTGGACGTCAATATTTTATCTCTACAAAATGTTTACTGATACAAGTTATGGAGTTCAAAGACCATATTGCTGATAAAAGCCTTGATTAAAGTCCTATCAAGGCACCTATGCTTTGCTATTCATTTAGGTTATCTCTGATTATTCAGAATAATCAGTAGAAAAAGCAGTTATTCATGGAGGGGTTTTGCTGTGTCAGGGTTGTTTCAAGTGACTCACTGTGCACTCAACTGTCCCAGGCCAGATTCAAGTCAGTAATCAAATTTATGGCCACTCCACAGAGCTTATATCACAAGCACTGTGTTGCACTGTTGACAAGCAAGACCTAACCCCTCAATTTTTGCTCAGAAAGGTGTCTGGAGTTCAGAAAATGTCTTCCATGGCAAGCTGGAGCTGGCACATGGAGCAGCAGAGTCACCAAAGTTTGGGTAACACATTAACCAACCACCTTTCACCTTTTTAGCAAAGCAGTGATAGAGCAGAAAGCACAGTTTGTGCTCAAGAGGGGCCATCAGAGTTCATAGGTGAATGGCACGAGGCTAAACATCGTTTTGAAAAGCAATGATGCAGCAGAATATGGGGTTCTTGCTCAAGAGGGGCCACGGGAGTTCAGGGTGAGAGGCTATGGGACAAATGGGTTTGAAAGTTCTTAATAGCAGTCCCTTCCCCAAATTTCAGAAGGCTTGGCTGTGGTACATACTATGTGGAAGCCCATATTCCTGGACAGAAAGGCCTGGCCAAGCAGATCTCACCTGCCATTAAGGCATATTCCACATGGACAGGGAAAAGCTGGATGCCAAAAGTTTGCAAGTTTACAAGAGCAATACAAGATACAGAAATGGTAGCTGGACAAGAGCTGGCTGGAGAAGACAGAATCTTTTAGACCTCCCCAACCAAGCACTCCTGAACAGAGTGAAATCTGAGCAGTTTCTCCAGGCCTGGAAGGGTTCTTTTGGAGCAGGTAGGAATGATGGGAAATCTGATCCATGAAATGGCTACCTTTGCCATAGGCACCTGAGTGTGATAAATACACTCCAAGGCTAATCCTAAGTGTTATTCCAAGATTAAGTGTTTCCTAAAATGTTTATTTGGAGAGAAGGTCCTCCATGTGGCCTATTAAAGAAAAGGGGTTCTTTTATGCATTTTTTATGGAAAATGCACTAAATAGGAAGGAATTTCAGACATCAGTGGGGAGGTTTAGATTGGATATTAGGAAACATTTCTTCATGGAAAGGGTTGTCAAGCACTGGAAGGGGCTGTCCAGGGCAGTGGTGAAATCACCATCCCTGGAAACGTTCAAGAAACGTGTGGATGGGGCACTTGGGGCCACGGTTTAGTGGCAGACCTGGCAGTGCTGGATTAATGGTTGGACTCTGATTTTAGAGGGCTTTTCCAACTTTACAGTTCCATGATTTGATGCAGTCCTATTCTGCAGCTGGTGAAACAGAACTGTGGCTCTAGCTGGTATTAGGGTAACATTCAAAGATCAAAAACTACAGAAGGCGGAGGCAAGGGATTCTCACCTGCCAGGGCTGCTTTTCCTCTTTTCTGTGGTAAAAATATCTCAAATAATGAGGTGATGCAGCATTCAACAAGCCTTAAGGTGGCAGTACATACTCAGGGAGTGAACTCAGAGTTGCAGAAACACTCTTACCCTGCATAAAGGCCTCTCAAATCCTCGTATTTGGTACCAAATCACTCCCACCTAGTTAAGTTCTGCTAACATTTCAGCCAAACTTGTATCATCTGTGAGACACTAAAACAAAACCCTATAAAACAACACTAAAGAGGTAAGAAAACCCCCTCAACCCAAACCCTTGAGGCCAAGCTCAAAAAAGTTTGAAGAAAAAAAAAAAAAGAAGTTCACAGAAGTTCAGCAAAAGTTCATAGAAGTTGTGACACCAGATTTTGAGCAGCACATGAACACCCTCCACGTGTTTACTAGTGCAGAGACTGAAGTCCACAAGTCCAGCCCATTCCAAAGGTGAGATAGCAGGAGAAAGTCAAACAAAAGTACAGAACTAAGTGCCAAGGTTGTAAGGGAAACAGTACAGCAAATATCTGAGCTAAGGGAATCCATGATTATCTCTCCTGTAAGCCTACAAATCCTGGCAGGCAGCCTGCACCTCTTATTTACCCCCTAAATCCCTTTTAAATTCAGAGGGTTTGTCTAAAAAAAAAGAAAATCTGCACCTCTTAAGAGGCTGATTTGGGTTTTTTTGGGCCATGGTGTGAAAACACACTCCCCTTTGTTTGCTCTAAGCTTGTTGCATTTCAGTGTTAGTCATAGGACAAATATTGGGAAAAACTATCAGTAACCCTTGTGCCTTTAGCTATGATATTCCAGATTTTACAAACCTCTGCCGTAATTATCATAGGTTTAGCTGTGCACTTTATTCCCTCTCTGCTTTTCTAGCCTGAATGCTAAGTTTGAATCGTCTTAAAAATCCTCCATTTTTACTGAGTGAGATTGAGCTTTTTCTGAAATATCAGACTTATCTCATATATTTTGTATATTTTGTAATCCCTATATTTTGTAAAGCAAATATCTGAAAAACCCAATAGGAATAGTTATTATTAAAAATAGAATCCATGAGGATACTCTGCATACCACAAAATCTATTTGAAAGCACATTAAAAAACCAGCTGAAATGAATTAATTTTAGAAGAATAAAGTAACTTATACTTTGTTTTTTCGATGTTGGATATAAATTTACCTATAGAGCATCACTGGCCTGGGATATACAAGCTGGAAAAATGGGCCTATAAAGGCCTCATGAAGGTCAGCAAAGGCAGATGCAAAGTTGTGCCTCTGGAATGGGATAATTTCATGCCACAGGAAAGGTGCACAACAACTTGAATGCAGGAGATGACAAAAAGTTAAAGAAAAAATGAGATTAACACTGACAGGACAAAAGGCAACAATCACTGCAACATGGAAAATTCAAACTGGATTCAGGAATCAATTGGATATAATAAAGTGTATTCTCAAGAGGAGATACATAAAATTTGACAAGAGAGAGAAAGGAACAAGCAACCTGACCTGGACATATTCTGATAGAAAGTTCTCAGAGAGGCCTTAAATGTCCTTCCAGGTACAATGTTTTCTGAGTTTATGACAAGTCAAAGAACAGAGAATCCTTCCTTAAGGAAAAGAAAAGAAAAAAAAATACAGAATTGTTGAGGAGATCAGACAGAGGATAAATTGAGTGCTCCTCAAATCAAAGTGTGTCTTGCACCACACCAAAAGCCTACTCCAAAGCCAAAGCTGCCTTGAGCAGGGAGCACAGAGCCAATGGGGATTCTACCAGAGATAACTCCATATACATCACTTTCTCCACTTTCCTACTCCTATAATCATTCCCAGATACCAGAACCAGCACCTCCCTGCAAAGCACGAGCAGTTTGAAATCCTCCTTTCTAATGAAAGCTGTGTTTCAGCTTCCCAGAGATTTCCAAAGCCTGCAAGGACAAGAAGAGAAAACAGAGCGTGACCCACCTGACTTAGCTTCTTGTAAGCGCAATTTACTCCACTAATCAAAACCATGTTGGGCATCAAGGGTTTTGGGAAGTGCAAGACAAAGTCCAGCTTCATGAGCCAAATGGAAGCCTGGCGCAGGAGATCCGGCACGGTCACCTCCCGCTGCAGGAACTCCGAAGCCAGTTCTGCATAAGGTTGGAAGACAACGTCGCAGAGGAAGAAATTGGGGATGTCATAGAGCATGTTCTTCACCCGCTGGAGAAAGGTCATGCGGTCTGTAAGGTCTGTAAATACTCTGGGGACATAGGAAGGGGGATTGGGGCACTGCGTGGCTTGATATTCCAAACCACATGGAATTTGCTGCAGGAAATACACAGAAGGCAGGGAAAGATACTCGGCCAGTATTGCCCCACAAGGGAGGACAGGATCTGTGAGGACAGCATCAAACTTGCTCTCCTCAAGGTACCTGATGAGCTCCTTGTTGTGGATTAAGTGTGTGCAAGTGGCCAGGAACAGAGCAGAGGTCTTCTTTGCCTGTTGGTACTGTCTAATGACTCTGTCCAGAAAAGGTCCTCCTTTAAATAAATCCATTACTGACCCTTTGAAAATTTTATCCATCTCTTCCCGAGTGAAAGGCACTGGATACATTTTCATCACAAAGCTCTTGGATGGTTTGATCTGCAGGGAGACTTCAGGTGCCACCACCACCACCTCGTGTCCCTTCTGCTGGAGCATGTCCAGCAATTCCCGCATGCTGAGCCAGTGGCTCCCATCCACTGGCACCACCAGGAGTTTCCCAGCAGCAGCCAGGCCCAGCAGGGACAGGAGCAGAAGCACAACTGGAGGAGAAGCCCTGAGCCCCATGGCCATTCTTGCAGGGATCACGTGAAGGCCTCCCGGGAAGGAAACCCGCGGCAGCACAGGAGCTCCGACGCTCGCTCCGCGCTTCTCAGCAATCTCTGCCCCAGCCCAACTTTGTATCCTTGCTTTATCTGCTCTGTGGTAAATGTGTAATCATAGGTGTGATAAAAGGCTGCATAACCAGCAGCAGAGTTCAGCCAGCTGATAGATGTGGGGGATGCAACAGATAAGCCTCATGTTTTTATTAATCTTGGCAGCTCTGTCACGTTTGAGCGCCACCAGCCAAGCCGACACAGCCCCTTCAGACTCCTCAAATTTGCTGCTAGACTGCAAACAGTCATTATCACCAGGCCAAAACTTTCCTAGATGTGCCAGCAAACTGAGGGGCTGCTCCTCAACCTGAGAGCCCCCAGCCTGCCACCTTCCTCCAGTTTCCAGCTTGGGAAATACCCAGGTGAAGAAGCACAAGAAATTCACCAGAAAAGAAGGATGTAAAGATGTAACAAGGACAGAAGCCTGAGGTGCATTTCTCAGTAAACACCAGACCCAACTAAAACAATTTGCTAATAAGGAATTGCACCTGACTGCAAGGATTTGACAACCCACCAGATGCAATCGTCACCAAGAGAGTACCAAGTTACACAAAGTTACACGAAGTGGCTCTGAGTAGTACATGAAATCAAATCAACAAATGCAACGCACACTTTAGAAGTGAGAAGATACAGGAGTGCTATCTACAAATGGAAAGGGAGAGGAAAATTCAGGAGCATTCATCCAACCACCCAACATGGGAAGTCAATTCCCATCTGCAACACAAGATTCAAGCCTCCTGAACACCAAAATCCATCACAGCACAAATTAAAAACAAAGTGGGACCCACCTGAGGCAGCTCCTTGTGAGCACAGTTTACTCCTCCTATTGGAATGATGTTGGGCATCAAGGGTCTTGGATAGTCAAGCACAAATTCCAACCTCAGGAGCCAAACAGAGCCCTTCCGTAAGAGATCCAGCACAGTCGCCTCCCGCTGCAGGAACTCGGAAGCCAGTTTTGTGAATGGGTCAAAGGCAAAATTACAGAGGAAAAGGTTTTGGGTGTCAAAGAGCAGATTCTTCACCCGCTGGAAAAAGGTCATGCGGTCTGTCAGTTCTGAAAAGGACCTGGGCACATAGGAAGGAGGATTGGGACACTGAGTGGCCTCAAAATCTAAGCCACACGGGATTCCTCGTAAGAAATAGACAGAAGGAAGTGAAAGATGCTCAGCCAGGATCACCCCACAAGGTATTACAGGATCTGTAAAGATGGCATCAAACTTGCTCTCCTCAAGGTACCACATGAGCTCTTTGTTTTGCAGGAGATGTTCACAACTGCTGACTGCCAAATTACTGACTCTTTTCATATGTTGGTACAATTTAAGAAATCTTTCCAGAAAAGATCCTTCTTCTAATGAAGTGTGTAGAAACGCCTTGAAATGTTCCTCCATCTCTTCCTGTGTGATGGGGCCTGAGTGCCTTTTCATCACAAAGTTCTTTGATGGTTTGATGTGCATAGAGACTTCAGGTGCCACCACCACCACCTCATGTCCCTTCTGTTGGAGTATGTCCAGCACCTCCCGCATGCTGAGCCAGTGGCTCCCATCCACTGGCACCACCAGGAGTTTCCCAGCAGCAGCCAGACCCAGCACAGACAGGAGAAGAAGCACAACTGGAGGAGAAGCCCTGAGCCCCATGGCCATTCCTGCAGGGATCACGTGAAGGCCTCCAGGGAAGGAAACCCGCGGCAGCACAGGAGCTCCGGCGCTCGCTCCGCGCTTCTCAGCAATCTCTGCCCAGCCCAACTTTCTATCCTTGCTTTATCTGCTCTGTGGTAAATGTGTAATCACAGGTGTGGTAAAAGGCTGCATAACCAGCAGCAGAGTTCAGCCAGCTGATAGATGTGGGGGATGCAACAAATAAGCCTCATGTTTTTATTAATCTTGGCAGCTCTGTCACGTTTGAGCGCCACCAGCCAAGCCGACACAGCCTCTTCAGACTCCTCAAATTTGCTGCTAGAATGGAAACAGCCATCATCACCAGGCCAAAATTTTCCTAGATCTGCCAGCAAACTGAGGGTCCGCTTCTCAACCTGAGAGCCCCCAGCCTGCCACCTTCCTCCAGATTCCAGCTTGGGAAATACACAGGTGAAGAAGCACAAAAAACTCACCAGAAAAGAATGATGTAGTAAGGCAACTGGGACAGAAGCCTGAAGTGCATTTATCAGTAAACACCAGACCAACTAAAACAATTTATGAATTAGGGATTGCACCTGACTGCAAGGATTTGACAGCCCCACAGACATGTTTGTCACTCACTAAGAGAGTACTAAGTTACACAAAGTCACCCAATGCACACAACATAGCTCTGAATATGTGAAATGAAAGCAGCAGATGCAAAGTACACTTTAGAGGGTGAGAAGGCACACGACTGCTGCCTACAAATGGAAAGGGAGAGAAAAATTCAGAAGCATTCATCCAACCACCCAACATGGGAAGTCAATTCCCATCTGCAACACAAGATTCAAGCCTCCTGAACACCAAAATCCATCACAGCACAAATTAAAAACAAAGTGGGACCCACCTGAGGCAGCTCCTTGTGAGCACAGTTTGCTCCTCCTATTGGAATGATGTTGGGCATCAAGGGTCTTGGATAGTCAAGCACAAATTCCGACCTCAGGAGCCAAACAGAGCCCTTCCGTAAGAGATCCGGCATAGTCACCTCCCGCTGCAGAAACTCTGAAGCCAGTTTTGTGAAGGGGTCATAGACAAAATTACAGAGGAAAAGGTTTTGGGTGTCAAAGAGCAGATTCTTCACCCGCTGGAAAAAGGTCATGTGGTCTGTAAGGTCTGAGAATGACCTGGGCACATAGGAAGGAGGATTGGGACACTGAGTGGCTTCAAAATCTAACCCACACGGGATTCCTCGTAAGAAATAGATAGAAGGAAGGGAAAGATTCTCAGCCAGGATCACCCCACAAGGTATTACAGGGTCTGTAAGGATGGCATCAAACTTGCTCTCCTCAAGGTACCTGATGAGCTCTTTGTTTTGCAGAAGATGTGTACAGCTGGAGAAACAAAAATCAGTGAATCTTTTCGTAGCTTCTACTACTTTAAAAAATCTTTCAAAAAAAGATCCTTCTTCAAATGTAATATTAAAATATTCCTTGAATGCATTGTCCATCTCTTCCTGTGAGTAGGGGACCGGGTACATTTTCATCACAAAGTTCTCTGATGGTTTGACGTGCAAGGAGACTTCAGGTGCCACCACCACCACCTCATGTCCCTTCTGCTGGAGCCTGTCCAGCCCCTCCCGCATGCTGAACCAGGGGCTCCCATCCACCGATACCACCAGGAGCTTCCCAGCAGCAGCCAGACCCAGCAGGGACAGGAGCAGAAGCACAAGTGGAGGAGAAGCCCTGAGCCCCATGGCCATTCTTGCAGGGATCAGCTGAGGGCCTCCAGGGAAGAAAACACCGGCAGCACAGGAGCTCCGGCGCTCGCTCCGTGCTTCTCAGCGATCTCTGCCCCAGCCCAACTTTGTATCCTTGCTTTATCTGCTCTGTGGTAAATGTGTAATCACAGGTGTGATAAAGGCTGCATAACCAGCAGCAAAGTTCAGCCAGCTGATTAAATATGGGGATGCAACCGATAAGCCTCGTGTTTCTATTAAAAAATCTGTTCAGCTCTTTCACCTTTGAGCGCCACGTGCCAAGCCAGCAGAGCCCCATCAGACTCCTCAAATTTGCTGCTAGACTGCAAACATCCATCACCATGGCCAAAATTTTCCTAGATCTGCCAGCAAACTGAGGGGCTGCTCCTCAACCTGAGAGCCCCCAGCCTGCCACCTTCCTCCAGATTCCAGCTTGGGAAATAGCCAATTGAGGAAGCACAAAAAATTCACTGGCAAAGAAAGACGTAGAGAGGCAACTAGGACAGAAGCCTGAGGTGCATTTATCAGTAAACACCAGACCCAATTACAACAATTTATGAATTAGGGATTGCACCTGACTGCAAGGATTTGACAGCCCCACAGATGGGTTTGTAAGTCACTAAGAGAGTACCAAGTTACACAACAGTACCAATAATTAGAGATTGTAGGGACACTTAAAACTGGACATGACAGAGGAAAGAAAATCCTGTCCTCACTGGACATGCTTTGACAGGAGGTTCTCAGCGAGACCTCAGATGTCCTCTCGGAGACAATGTTTGATGTGCCTCTGACAATAGAGAACACTGAAAATCCTTCATTAAAGGAATGAAAGGAGACAGAAATGCAGATGAAATCGGCCAGATTGGACCAGATGATAAATGTACATGTCCTCAATTTAAAGTGAGTCTTCCTTCACATCAACAGCCTTGAGGGAAGAGGCTCTGAGGAACCCACTCCAATCCAAAGCTGTCTTGGAGCAGAGACACAGAGCCAATGGGGATTCTGCCAGAGATAATTCCATATACATCACTTTCTCCACTTTTCTACTCCTATAATCATTCCCAGATACCAGAACCAGCACCTCCCTGCAAAGCACGAGCAGTTTGAAATCCTCCTTTCTAATGAAAGCTGTGTTTCAGCTTCCCAGAGATTTCCAAAGCCTGCAAGGACAAGAAGAGAAAACAGAGCGTGACCCACCTGACTTAGCTTCTTGTAAGCGCAATTTACTCCACTAATCAAAACCATGTTGGGCATCAAGGGTTTTGGGAAGTGCAAGACAAAGTCCAGCTTCATGAGCCAAATGGAAGCCTGGCGCAGGAGATCCGGCACGGTCACCTCCCGCTGCAGGAACTCCGAAGCCAGTTCTGCATAAGGTTGGAAGACAACGTCGCAGAGGAAGAAATTGGGGATGTCATAGAGCATGTTCTTCACCCGCTGGAGAAAGGTCATGCGGTCTGTAAGGTCTGTAAATACTCTGGGGACATAGGAAGGGGGATTGGGGCACTGCGTGGCTTGATATTCCAAACCACATGGAATTTGCTGCAGGAAATACACAGAAGGCAGGGAAAGATACTCGGCCAGTATTGCCCCACAAGGGAGGATAGGGTCTGTGAGGACGGCATCAAACTTGCTCTCCTCAAGGTACCTGATGAGCTCCTTGTTGTGGATTAAGTGTGTGCAAGTGGCCAGGAACAGAGCAGAGGTCTTCTTTGCCTGTTGGTACTGTCTAATGACTCTTTCCAGAAAAGGTCCTCCTTTAAATAAATCCATTATTGACCCTTTGAAAACTTTGTCCAGCTCTTCCTGTGTGAAGGGGACCGGGTACATTTTCATCACAAAGTTCTCTGATGGTTTGATGTGCAAGGAGACTTCGGGTGCCACCACCACCACCTCGTGTCCCTTCTGCTGGAGCATGTCCAGCAATTCCCGCATGCTGAGCCAGTGGCTCCCATCCACTGGCACCACCAGGAGCTTCCCAGCAGCAGACAGACCCAGCACAGACAGGAGAAGAAGCACAACTGGAGGAGAAGCCCTGAGCCCCATGGCCATTTTTGCAGGGATCACGTGAAGGCCTCCAGGGAAGGAAACCGGCGGCAGCACAGGAGCTCCGGCGCTCGCTCCGCGCTTCTCAGCAATCTCTGCCCCAGCCCAACTTTCTATCCTTGCTTTATCTGCTCTGTGGTAAATGTGTAATCACAGGTGTGATAAAAGGCTGCATAACCAGCAGCAGAGTTCAGCCAGCTGATAGATGTGGGGGATGCAACAGATAAGCCTTGTGTTTTATAACAAAACCTTTGGCACTTTTGTCACGTTTGAGCGCCACCTGCCAAGCTATTGTAGACCCTTGACACATCTGAAATTTGCTGTTACGTCACACCCAGCCACCATCATCATGGCAAAATTTTCCTAGATCTGCCAGCAAACTGAGGGGCTGCTTCTCAACCTGAGAGCTCCCAGCCTGCCACCTTCCTCCAGATTCCAGCTTGGGAAATACCCAGGTGAAGAAGCACAAGAAATTCACCAACAAAGAAGGATGTAAAGAGGTAACAAGGACAGAAGCCTGAGGTGCATTTCTCAGTAAACACCAGACCCAACTAAAACAATTTGCTATTAAGGGATTGCACCTGACTGCAAGGATTTGACAACCCACCAGATGCAATCGTCACCAAGAGAGTACCAAGTTACACAAAGTTACACGAAGTGGCTCTGAGTAGTACATGAAATCAAATCAACAAATGCAACGCACACTTTAGAGGTGAGAAGATACAGGAGTGCTGTCTACAAATGGAGAGGGAGAGGAAAATTCAGGAGCATTCATCCAACCACCCAACATGGGAAGTCAATTCCCATCTGCAACACAAGATTCAAGCCTCCTGAACACCAAAATCCATCACAGCACAAATTAAAAACAAAGTGGGACCCACCTGAGGCAGCTCCTTGTGAGCACAGTTTACTCCTCCTATTGGAATGATGTTGGGCATCAAGGGTCTTGGATAGTCGAGCACAAATTCCAACCTCAGGAGCCAAACAGAGCCCTTCCGTAAGAGATCCAGCACAGTCACCTCCCGCTGCAGGAACTCGGAAGCCAGTTTTGTGAATGGGTCATAGGCAAAATTACAGAGGAAAAGGTTTTGGGTGTCAAAGAGCAGATTCTTCACCCGCTGAAGAAAAGTCATGCGGTCTGTCAGTTCTGAAAAGGACCTGGGCACATAGGAAGGAGGATTGGGACACTGAGTGGCCTCAAAATCTAAGCCACACGGGATTCCTCGTAAGAAATAGACAGAAGGAAGGGAAAGATGTTCAGCCAAGATCACCCCACAAGGTACTACAGGGTCTGTAAGGACGGCATCAAACCTGCTCTCCTCAAGGTACCTGATGAGCTCCTTGTTTTGCAAGAGCTGCTCACAACTGCTGACTGATAAATTACCGAGTTTTTTCATATGTTGGTACAATTTAAGAAATCTTTCCAGAAAAGATCCTTCTTCTAATGAAGCGTGTAGAAACACCTTGAAATCATTCTCCATCTCTTCCTGTGTGTAGGGGACTGAGTACATTTTCATCACAAAGTTCTTTGATGGTTTGATGTGCAAAGTCACTTCTGGTGCCACTACAACCACCTCGTGTCCCCTCTGCCTCAGGATGTCCAGCACCTCCCGCATGCTGAGCCAGTGGCTCCCATCCACTGGCACCACCAGGAGCTTCCCAGCAGCAGCCAGACCCAGCAGGGACAGGAGCAGAAGCACAAGTGGTGGAGAAGCCCTGAGCCCTGGGGCCATTCCTGCAGGCATCAGCTGAGGGCCTCCAGGGAAGGAAATCCCCAAGAGCACTGGAGCTACGGTGCTGGCTCCGCGCTTTCAAATGATCTGTGGCACAGCCCAACTGTGGATCCTTATTTTATGTGCTGGGCAGTGAATGTGTATTCCCTGATATGATAAAAGGCTGCAGAACAAGCATAGAACTCTTGCCAAGTCCATAGAATGACCAGATAACTCCCATCTATCTCTATCAGAGTAACAATAAAGAGCGCCCCAGGAAGGAGGCAGGTGTGGCTCTGGGACTGCACTTCGGTCCTTTCCCTCTGGCTGCACCTTCTGCATGTTCAGATACATCACGTGTAGGAGATGTGTCACATGCACATCACCACTCAGACCTGCAGAGGCTTCTCCTTTCCCCAAAGCACGGTCTTTCCCCTCTCCCTCTCTCTTGCAAAGCTCATCTCCAGGATCCCAGACCCCACAGCAGCTGTGGAACAGCCCTTTAAGATGGTTTCTAGACTGAGGAGACAGAGAAGTTGGAAGGATGTTGGCAGGTTTTTGCAGGATATGTTATCTACATCAAGCAGCACTTCCAGTGCCCCAGACCTGCCTCAAGGAATTGCAGGGGTTGGCTTTGTGGGCTAGGAGGTTTGAACAGAGATTTATGAGCACTTTTGAGTGTATCTTTCCACAGAACAATTCAGGGCCTAATTCTGGCATTGTTTAGTCACTGACAAAGCACCCATGATGTCCAGCAGTGGTGGAGTTGTGTGAATGCTCACATGGCCAATCCCACTGTGCACAGGGATGTCTGTCAGATGTCAGAGCCACCTCTGCACTTGGGGATGGGTGGAATTGCCACTGCAGCTTTGGGATCCCACCCTACACCACACAAATCCTGTGGAATATGAATGAAGAGAAATCCAGGGCACCTAAATCATTCACCCAAGTCACCAGGCTCTCCCCTGGAGCAGCAGAGGAGGCTCTCCAGGGGGAACACTGCCCAGGGCTCTTGCCAACATCCCAGGGAACCCAAGCACATGGCATAGTTGACTGGCTGGTATCATGGGCAAGACTGCAGTTAATCCCTCAGTGCCTGTCAAGGCCAGCTGGATGTGTCAAATCAGACCTGCTCCAGACATCAGAGCTGGGCTTTGGAGCCAGAAAAATGTTTTTAAGTTTCTCTGGAAGATCCGATTGGAACTGCTCATTATACAAATTCAAAACTTTGTTCTACTATTCACAAATTCTCAGAATCCCTTTGGCTGGCAGAATCAACGTCCTATCACAGATCCTTAGTACAGGGTCACCAGAAGATCCTGGTGTTTACCTACAACTGAGCACCAATTAAAAGCCAAAAGAAACAGCTGCCTACACAGGATGTGGAAAGTCAGCAAGAAATGAGAGAAAAACAGTTCCTTTACTGAGGATTTACCTCACTCACCAGAAATGGGAACTTGATTTCTATCACAACACAGAATTTCACCCTCCTGAACACAGAAGTCCATCACAGCACGGATTAAGACCCACCTGAGGCAGCTCCTTGTGAGCACAGTTTACTCCTCCAATTGGAATGATGTTGGGCATCAAAGGCCTTGGGTAGTCAAGCACAAATTCTAACCTCAGGAGCCAAACAGAGCCCTTCCGTAAGAGATCCAGCACAGTCACCTCCCGCTGCAGGAACTCGGAAGCCAGTTTTGAGTAGGGTTCAAAGGCAAAATCACAGAGGAAAACATTTGGGATGTCAAAGAGCAGATTCTTCACCCGCTGAAGAAAAGTCATGCGGTCTGTAAGGTCTGTAAGTATCCTGGGCACATAGGAAGGAGGCTTGGGACACTGAGTGGCTTCAAAATCTAAGCCACACGGGATTCCTCGTAAGAAATAGACAGAAGGAAGTGAAAGATGCTCAGCCAGGATCACCCCACAGGGCACAAAAGGGTCTGTAAGGACAGCATCAAACTTGCTCTCCTCAAGGTACCTGATGAGCTCTTTGTTTTGCAAGAGCTGTTCACAGCTGGAGAACTCCAAGTCAGTGATTCTTTTCATACCTCTGTACACTTTAAAAAATCTTTCAAAAAAAGATCCATCTTCAAATGAAACCTGAAAAAACGCCTTGAAATCTTCCTCCATCTCTTCCTGTGAGTAGGAGACCGGGTACATTTTCATCACAAAGTTCTTTGATGGTTTGATGTGCAAAGTCACTTCAGGTGCCACCACAACCACCTTGTGTCCCCTCTGCCTGAGGATGTCCAGCACCTCCCGCATGCTGAGCCAGTGGCTCCCATCCACTGGCACCACCAGGAGCTTCCCAGCAGCAGCCAGACCCAGCAGGGACAGGAGCAGAAGCACAAGTGGTGGAGAAGCCCTGAGCTTTGGCGCCATTCCTGCAGGCATCAGCTGAGTGCTTCCAGGGAAGGAAACCCACAGCAACACTGGTGCTTGCTCTGTACTTTGAAATTATCTGTGGCACAGCCCAACTGTGGATCTTTATTTTGTGTGCTGTGTGGTAAATGTGTAATTCCCAGTGTGATAAAAGGCTGCAGAACAAGCATGGGATTCCTGCCAAGTCCATAGAATCACAGATAACTCCCATCTATCTATCAGAGGAACAGTAAAGGGTGCCCTAAGAAGGCAGAGGGAGCTGCACTTTGCTTCCTTCCTTCTGGCTGGAAATTCTGAGATGTGTTACATGCATGACATGCATGTTACTATTCCAACTAGCAGTGAGTCTCCTTCCCTCCAGGCCAGGACTCTCCCTTCTCCCTCTCTCTTGGAAAACTCATCTCTAGGAGACCCAAACCCTACAGCAGCTGTGGAACAGCTCTTTGAGATGGTTTCCAGCCTGAGAAGACTGAAGAGATGGAAGGATGATGCCAGGTTTCTGAGCAGACATTTACAAACACTCTTTGAGAGCGACTTTCCACAGAACATTTCAGAGCCTAATTCTGGCCTTGGTTTGATCCCTGACAAAGCACCCATGGTGTCCAGCAGTGGTGGAGTTGTGTGAATGCTCAGGTGGCCAATCCCATTGTACATGGGGATGTCTGTAAATTGTCACAGCTACCTCTGTACTTCAAGCTGGGTGGAATTGCCACATGTTGGGCTTTGTGATCCCGCCCTGCACCACATAACTCCTATGGAATATGAATGAAGAGAAAGCCAGGGCACCAAAAGTACTTTCCCAACTCTCCTGGTTCTCCCCCAGAGAAGAAGAGTAAACTGTTCAGGAGGAACACTCACAGGGCTCTTGCCAGCACCCTGGGGAACCTAAGCACACAGCACATTGGAGCAGTTGGTATCATGCACAAGGCTGCACCCAAACCCTCACTGCCAGTCAAGCTGTACTGGATGTGTCAAATCAGACCTGCTCCAGGCATCAGGGCTGGGATTTGGAGCCAGGAAAGAGTTTTTATCAGTCTCTAGGACATCCCACTGGAGCCGGTCATTAAAGGAACCCTACACTTTGTCTTACTGTCCACGAATTCTAAAAATCTCTTTGCTGGTGGCATCAACAGCCCATCACAGACCTTCACCAGAAGACCATGGTGATTGCCTTCAATTGAGAAGCATTTCAAAGCCAAAAGGAACAGCTACCTACACAGGATGTGGAAAATCAGAAGTGAGAGAAAAACAGTTCCTTTCATGAGGATTCAGCTCACTCACCAGAAACAGAAACTCGATTCCTATTGCAACACAGAATTCCACCCTCCTGAACATAGAAATCAATCAAGGAATGGATTAAAACCAGTGTGACCCACCTGAGGCAGCTCCTTGTGAGCACAGTTTACTCCTCCAATTGGAATGATGTTGGGCATCAAAGGCCTTGGGTAGTCGAGCACAAAATCCAACCTCAGGAGCCAAACAGAGCCCTTCCGTAAGAGATCCTGCACCGTCACCTCCCGCTGCAGGAACTCGGAAGCCAGTTTTGAGTAGGGTTCAAAGGCAAAATCACAGAGAAAAACACTTGGGATGTCAAAGAGCAGATTCTTCACCCGCTGAAGAAAAGTCATGCGGTCTGTAAGGTCTGTAAATATCCTGGGCACATAGGAAGGGGGCTTGGGACACTGAGTGGCTTCAAAATCTAACCCACACGGGATTCCTCGTAAGAAATAGACAGAAGGCAGGGAAAGGTGCTCAGCCAGGATCACCCCACAGGGCACAAAAGGGTCTGTAAGGACAGCATCAAACTTGCTCTCCTCAAGGTACCTGATGAGCTCTTTGTTTTGCAAGAGCTGTTCACAGCTGGAGACCCCAAAGTTAGTGATTCTTTTTATACCTTCAAGAACATTAAAAAATCTTTCAAAGAAAGTTCCTTCTTCAAATGAGACATGAAAAAATGCCTTGAAATCTTTCTCCAACTCCTCCTTTGAGTAGGGGACTGAGAACATTTTCATCACAAAGTTCTTGGATGGTTTGATGTGCATGGAGACTTCAGGTGCCACCACAACCACCTCGTGTCCCCTCTGCCTCAGGATGTCCAGCACCTCCCGCATGCTGAGCCAGTGGCTCCCATCCACTGGCACCACCAGGAGCTTCCCAGCAGCAGCCAGGCCCAGCAGGAACAGGAGCAGAAACACAACTGGAGGAGAAGCCCTGAGCCCTGGGGCCATTCCTGCAGGCATCAGCTGAGGGCCTCCAGGGAAGGAAACCCCCAAGAGCACTGGAGCTACGGTGCCGGCTCCGCACTTTCAAATGATCTGTGGCACAGCCCAACTGTGGATCCTTATTTTATGTGCTGGGCAGTGAATGTGTAATCCCTGATATGATAAAAGGCTGCAGAACAAGCATAGAACTCCTGCCAAGTCCATAGAATGACCAGATAACTCCCATCTATCTCTATCAGAGGAACAGTAAAGAGTGCCCCAGGAAGGAAGCAGGTGTGGCTCTGGGACTGCACTTTGGTCCTTTCCCTCTGGCTGCACCTTCTGCATGTTCAGGAGATGCGTCGCGTGTAGGAGATGTGTCCCATGCCCATCACCCTTGGGACCAGCAGAGGCTTCTCCTTTCCCACAATCAAGGCCTGCCCCCTCTCACTTGGAAAGCTCATCTCTAGGAGACCCAGGCCCCATGGCAGCTGTGGAACAGCTCTTTAAGATGGTTTCCTGCCTGAGAAAACAGGAGAGGTGGAAGGATGATGCCAGGTTTCTTAGAAGACATTTATGAACACTTGTGTTAGTTTAACAGAATCTGGCTTTTAGTGGGGGCAGAGAACCCACAGAGGCTGCTTCTGAGAGAGAAGCCTATCAAAGCCTCTACTCAGTCCAGCAGAGCCAATCCCTGAAGGCTCTGACAATTGACGCATTGGCTGACCCAATTTGAGAAGTTAGCGGCGGTTCTGAGAGGATATAACTAAGAAGTAGAAAATGCGTGCAAGTCCTCTTTCCTCCTCTCCTACCAGGGGTGTTGAGGGGGCCACTGGGCTCCTTCCCAGCCTGGCCAGGGCTGTGCCATAGGGTGTGGCCATCCCAGTACTGTGAGTGGCCACATGGCTGATACCATGCGCTCAGGTCAGATGCGCTCATGTGGCCAGGGCTATGCCAGCACCATCCGCAGTGAGCTGTGCTTCCTTGGCCACGTTCAGCTAGCCAGTGCTCTGTGGGCAGAAGAACAGGAGTGGTGGCAGCAGCTTTTCGTTTTTGGCACCCGGTAATTTGCGGAAGCTAACAAACTCCACAACTTTTGTGGAAGTTTTAAAGCTGGTATGTTTATTACAGAGCTGGACACATGTGGGAACTCCAGATCCTCTTTTATCTCCCTCTCAAATACATATGCATGCAATTTCACAATAGGTTCATACATATTCATTCTATGAATATTCTATTCATTCTATGATGAATTTGCCTCTAATTCTTCTTTATCTGGAAAGATCTCCTGGGTCAGGTTGCCCTGCTCTGCCTGACCTCCCCCTCCCCCCTTATCTCTGTCCTTCGGCTGAAGCAGTTTCTCCAAGCATAGAGTTTTTGTGAGAACAGGCAGTCAGACTAAACAGCAAGCTACAGACTTTAATCAAAGATGCACATTTCACCTAAATCAAAATAGATTTCTACCCTGGAAAATTTCCACTCTGCCTCACCGGCATGAGGAGAGGCTCTGAGCAAAGCCAGCGGCCACCATTTGACCAGCAGCGAGGGGCATGGCGAGCAATTCCCCAATGTGGGGCCAGATCAGATCAACCTTTCAGTGCTGCAGGACTCTACAGAAACTTTTAAATTAATAGAACGTGAGAAGAAATGAACATACAGACAGCAATTCTCTCATGAGTCAGAGAAAAGGGAGAAGTGAAGACGTGAGGAGAACAACATGATGACACTAAGGTTGGTGAAAAGGAGGGAGGGGGTGGAGGAGGTGCTCCAGGCCTTGGAGCTGAGATGCCTCTGCATGCTCTGGTGAGGTCTAAAAAACAAGTTTCCCTGTAATTTATGAAGTGCATAGGGGAATTCAGAGTTCACCTGCAGCCTGTGAGAAAGAGTGCTCACGCTGGAGCATGTGGATGCTGAAAAGCTGCGATCTAGTGAGGAATTTGAACACAGAGAAAAGACCCTTGCTTCCAGCGATAGAAAAAGAAGACCCTTGCTTCCAAACTAGAACAGCTCATCCTTAAAAGACTACATGGCATGAAGAAAAATGACCCACGCAAACAGTTGTAGGAAGACTGCTTTGCCCCTGGGAAGGACTCATGTTGTAGCAGGTGGGGCATGACTGCTACTCGTGAAAATTAGAACCACGTTGGAGAAGTTCAGAGAACTGTTCCATGAAAAAGACCCCCCATAGCAGAACATACTCCTCTCCCTAAGCAAACTGAAGAAAGATTTTTAGAAGTGACAAACTGACTACAACCCTCATGTTTTGTCTCTCTGCATTGTTGGTGGGAATGAAAGAAGGGTGAGGGGTGCAGGGGAAGGTATTCAAGAAGTAGTTCTCATTATCCTCTTTTAATTCTGTTAATAAATTTTTCTTTATACCTTTTAAGTTCTGAGCCTGTTCTACCCTTAAAGTGTTTCTTCCCAATCCCTACCTCAACTCATGAGCCCCTTTTGTCTTTCCTTTCCCTCTTCTCTGCTCCAATATAGCAGAAGAGAATGAGTAAATGTTTTTTTTTGTGGGTGCCTAGCTTCTAGCCAGTGTCAAATTCCGACAACACTCTTTGAGGGAGACTTTTCACAGAACAATTCAGGGCCTAATTCTGGCTTCCTTTTTGTCACTGACAAAGCACCCATGATGTCCAGCAGTGGTGGAGCTGTGTGAAAGCTCACGTGGCCAATCCCACTGTGCACAAGGATGTCTGTCAGATGTCACAGCCACCTCCACACTTGGGGATGGGTGGAATAGCCATAATGTGGGCTTCATTATCCCAGCGCACATGAATCCTAAGGAACAGGACTGAAGAGAAAGCAAGGGCACCAAAAGCACTCACCCAACTCACCAGGTTCTCCCCTGGAGCAGCAGAGGAGGCTCTCCAGGAGGAACACTGCACAGGGCTCTTGCCAGCATCCAAGGGATCCCAAAGTTTGGCATCATCCCTAAGGCTGCACCCAAACTCAAACCATCAGTGCCAGTCAAGGCCTGCTGGACGTGTCAAATCAAACCTGCTCCAGGCATCAGAGCAGGGCACTCTGCTGGTGGAATCAATGTCCCATCACAGACCTTCACCAGTTAACCCTGGTGATTCCCTTCAACAGAGCACTCTTTAAAAGCCAGAAGGAAAAGCTGTCTACACACAAAGTGGAAGTCAGGAAGAAGGAGAGATAAACAGTTCCTTTCATGAGGATTCACCTCACTCACCAGAAACAGAAACTCAGTACCTATTGCATAAAAAAATCCCCCCCTCCTAAACACAGAAACCAATCATGGCATGAATTAAAACAGTGTGACCCACCTGAGGCAGCTCCTTGTGAGCACAGTTTACTCCTCCAATTGGTATGATGTTAGGCATCAAAGGCCTTGGATACTCTAAAACAAAATCTGACCTCATGAGCCAAACTGAAGCCTGGCGTAAGAGATCCAGCACAGTCACGTCTTGCTGCAGGAACTCTGAAGCCAGTTTTGAGTAGGGTTCAAAGGCAAAATCACAGAGAAAAATATCTGGGATGTCATGAAGTAGATTCTTCACTCGCTGGAGAAAGGTCATGTGGTCTGTAAATTGTGTAAATCCCCTGGGGACATAGGAAGGAGGCTTGGGACACTGAGTAGCAGCAAAATCTAAGCCACACGGGATTCCTCGTAAGAAATAGACAGAAGGCAGGGAAAGGTGCTTCGCCAGGATTGCTCCACATAGTAGGACAGGGTCTGTAAGGACAGCATCAAACTTGCTCTCCTCAAGGTACCTGATGAGCTCTTTGTTTTGCAGGAGATGTCCACAGCTGGTGACCCCAAAGTAAGTGATTCTTTTGATACCTTGGTACGCTTTAACAAATCTTTCCAGAAAAGATCCTTGTTCAAATGAAAAATGAAAAAATGCCTGGAATTGTTTCTTCAAAGCTTCCTTTGTGTAGGGGACTGAGTACATTTTCATCACAAAGTTCTTGGATGGCTTGATGTGCAAAGTCACCTCGGGTGCCACCACGACCACCTCGTGTCCCCTCTGCCTCAGGATGTCCAGCACCTCCCGCATGCTGAGCCAGTGGCTCCCATCCACTGGCACCACCAGGAGCTTCCCAGCAGCAGCCAGACCCAGCAGGGACAGGAGCAGAAGCACAACTGGAGGAGAAGCCCTGAGCCCTGGGGCCATTCCTGCAGGCATCAGCTGAGGGCCTCCACAGAAAGAGTTCCCCAGCTTTGTGATTTTAAGTGATCTGGTCTCTGATTTTTATGGATGGTCTTCAGACTTATTTGCATTTGGTAAATGTTTAATCCTGGACATGGCAAAGGTAGCAGAAAAGGTTAAGGTTCATCTTATCTGGCAGACACAAATCAGGGCCTGAGTTACCCTGGGAAACACTCCCCTCTCTCTATTGGAGGAACACTGGGTTGGAGGAACGCTGCCTGGTTATGTAGGGAGGAAGTCAGGAAGTCCAAGGTGCAGATGGAGCTGAACTTGGCCAGGGGTGAAAATAACAACAACAAGGGCCACAACAGGAAGGTCAAAGGAAGTCTTCCCCCCCCAGTAAGCAAGACTAGGATGCTGGAAACAATGGACAAAGTAAAGGCTGAGGGACTCCAGAACTTTCCTTGCCTCAGCCTTCACTGGCAACCTCTCTTCCCACACCTCTTCAGTGGATGGATGGATGGATGGCAAAATGTGGCTGGGGGAACAAAATTCCACCCAGTGTAAGAGAAGATCATGTGACCACTTGAGGAATCCAAACATAAGGGCACCTGATGACCCAAACTCATGGGGCCCCATGAGATGCATCTCAGAGTCCTGAGGGAATTGGTTGATGGAGTTGCCAAAGCATTCTCCATGATATTTGAAAAGTCCTGGCAGTCAGGTGAAGTTACAGTGACTGGGAAAAGGGAAACATTGCACCCACCTTTAAAAAGGACAGAAAGGAATCCCCAGGGAACTACCAACCTGTCAACCTCACCTCTGTGCCTGGAACAGACCCTCCTAGGAGACACTCTATGATTTAAGTAAATGAGGGATCTTTGAACAAGTGGTCTACTCAAAAGAGCCAATTAATGAATCAATTTTCCAAACATTAATTTTCAGTGTAAGATAATTCCTCCCCTCCTGCCATTCCATATTGTTTTCCATTTGCAAAAGATTAGAAAAAATATTAAATCTTCACACAGGAAATGGTCTGGATTCTTTACCAGTTTTATATTGTGACACTATGAGGAAGACGGAAAATTGACTATCAAAGTTCATTTCCCTGCAAGGCTTCTTTTTGGAAGGATGAAGTAGGGTCTGGAAGGAGGAAGGACACAGACATGGTTTTTGTCAGCTGTACTTAAAATTGAATCAAGAACTCAGAAATACCATTCTAGATCAGTCTGGGAAGTGTTTGCCCCTGGGCCATGAAAGCAAACAGTATTAATGCACAGACAAGATTTGCAGACAAGCCCTAATCATGAAAATTATTGCATAGAAGTAATGTTGACAATAAAATCATTTAGTGTAGTGGTTGATAGCATACACCAAAATATTTTTAAGGACATTTATCAAACTACTGCAGCTCTAGGCACATCCTTTGTAGAGAAACTTTTGGGAAGGCAGCATAAAGCTCTTGCTGATGCAGATGCTGCCAGAGCAACCAGAACATTTTCTACCATTTGGTGCATTATGATGCTTCATTTTTAAATTATGAAAGGGTAGGTCTATTAACCAAAAAGATTCTCCGTTTTTAAAAATCAATTGTGACAGTAAAACAAATTCATGGACATAGTTATAGACACACAAAACATTTGCCAACAGCATTAAACATCCATATATTTTACCATGGCAATTACTGAACCTGAGTTAATGGCTTTTTCTTTCCACAGTTTATACCTTCAATAAAAATATGTTGGGAACCACTGGTGTTATAGATGAGTAATGTAATAATTGGCTCTCACAATTGAGAGATAGATGTAATGTGGATGTTAAAATGTATCGTAATGTTACAGTAATATGTCCTCCCATAGTCCGCTTTCCCCTCCCCCTTGTCATAGCCTTAGTAGTGAGGGCATTTAGAGGAGGCTGGCTTGTTACCAGGAGGCAGGGCATATCAACACCTCACCTCCAGTCAAGATGTAAGTAAGTGATCTCCACTACTAGACGGCAGAGAAAGAGTTGACTGACAAAACTTTTGGAGGCGCTTAGGATGTAAAAGGCAGAACATCCATTTTGTAGATGAGCACGTGTCTGATAATCACTGGGGCTCTCAGTGCTGTAATTTTTCCTTATTTAGTCCTTTTATTGTATTTTTTGTTAAGGTTTAATAAACCTTTAATTTTTTTTAAAGGTGAGCAGTCATTTCTCATACTGGCATGGGATACTCAAACCCAAAATCGGTTCTTTCAAGCCAAATGGATCCATGGGCTAAGAGCTTCTCCAGTGTTACTTGTCTGTGAAGAACATCTGAGCTGCAAAGTTTAAATGGGAAATAGGAAAAATGGCAAAGAAAGAAATCTATGAACTTGAGAGCTGAGTTTTCCACATGCTGGGTAAACACCATGTGGTCTGAGCTGTCCCTGAGTGTTTTTGGCATGAAGGAAGGCAGATCTGGACACTGAGCAACCTGCAAATCTGAACTGCAGAGAAATCCCTGGAGAAAGAAAACAGGACTGAGAGATGCAGAGCCAGGATTTGTCTGCAGGATACAAGAGGATCCGTGAGAACTTTAGAGATACCGTGTCAGATCTTTGTTGCGCAGCAGACCGCCGCAGGAAGAGGTGTAGAGGTTGGAGGTGAACCAGACTTTTTTAAGCATAGCAGTAACTCTTTGACGAAAAGATTTTCTTTCAAAAGGATCACTCCTCTGAGAAACAACTGCTCACTTTGAAAATTTAAAAAGGTTTATTAAACCTTAACAAAAATACAACAAAGGACTACATATGGGAAAATTTGCAGTGCTGTGAACTGCCCTTGTGCATACCACATGGCTGGTTTGTCTTCAAGATGGGTGCTCAGTTTTTTATAGAGCACCCCTGGGGGTGCATCAGCCAGCCCTGGCCCTCCCAAAGTCTGTCAGTCAGCTCTTCTTTGCCATTTATCAGTGGAGACTGCTTTCTTGTAACTGGATTGGAGGTCAGGTGTTGCCATGCCTCACCCCCTAAGCACCAAGCTTTTCCATTCCCAACTGCCCCATGCAAGGGGCACATGTGCAGCCTGCTTTGTACCTGTCCTAAACAACCCAGGCTGTCTGATGGCAACCATACAGGGGGGAAAGGGAACTATGGAGAGAACAGAGGACATCTAAACTACAATAACATAATTACACATCACTAAAGCCTTTCTGAATATTCACACAATAGTTTTCTTCTAATTGCAAGAGCCAATAATCTCATTATCCATCTATAACATTCCCAAGGGAGCGCACATGTGCTCTCAGCTTGTCCCTGTATAACCACACTGGATACCTTTTGAAGCTGCAATATGCAGATGCTTCCATGCCCAAGTTCACTTCCAATGCCACGGTGACAATTTGGTGGCCTTTCTGGCTGAGAGCCACCACCAGCAGGCGCAGGCTAAGACAGTGACTTTGATCCATGGGCACCACCAGCAGCTTCCCACCACAAGCCGAGCACAGCAGGGACAGAAAAAGCAGAATCCCCGTCAAAGCTGAGGAGTCGTATTTACCCACAGGAGCCATATTCCCAGAAATCCAAATTCTGCTCATCTGCCCCGACTTAGCATCTTTTAAATACAGCCACAGCTCACTGCCAGATTCCCATATTACCCCTTAACGACCCGGCTTTTCCAGCAGAACCATTCACTGGTAACCATTGAAGGCATTGATGAGTCATTTAAGTGATTAATGAATTTGGGTTGGACGGAACTGGGCTTGGTAAGTGGGGCTCCCTTCAGCCCCAATCTGTGCTGATTGATGCTAGATTGAAAATAAAATCAGGCTTTGCCAAAAAAAACCCTTGAGAATAGCACTGGTACTTGGAAGTAACCAGGCTTGCCGAAACCAGGTACTAAAATACTTTATTTCTTTCCTTCTTTTTGAGAAGGATTTTACAGCTGTTCTGAAATGCTTGGCAAGTTCGTGTTTAAAATTAAAAAAAAGATGGGCCACTTTATAGCACAATATCTATGTAAACCCTTAGGAAGAGGCTCTGGGATTTACATATAGCTCAGCACTGGAGCCAGGAACACTACCGGGTACGAATTTAATCCACTGGAGAAGCAGAGGGTTTGCATCAGTAAAGGAAAACCACTGGGTTGAGTAGAGTCAAATACCCTACTCCTTGTTCTCATCCTGATCTATCTCTCTCCATCATCCTCAGAGAAGAGTTGGTTCCACGCTGGAGCTGCTCCATGCTTTTGCCTGCAGGCAGGATGTCCTGCTGCTTTCTCAGAGGATCTGCCTGGCTTTGTCCCTGAGGACCTGTTATGCAGCTCTGATGGAGAGAAGAGACAGGAAAAAGCACTGCCCTTATAAAAGGGGGGCTTGATAACAATTTGAAAGAGACTTCTGTGGAAAAGCAGAAGAGCAACAGAAACAAACAACTCAATGAAGCTGAACAAGCAAAGCCCAATGGTAGGGAAGGTTGGCTCTGAGGAAGGTGTGAAAAGCAAATCTCTTTTCTTTTGAAGTTTCAGTCATTCATGTTAACAAAAGCCTGTGAATTTCAGCGAAGAGTGGTGCTAGGCCAGAAGAATCTATTCTAAGGGCTTTGGAAAGGCTGGCAAGTGAAAAAAGTTTGAGGGAAGAAGAGAGGAGAGTTTGTTGATTTTTTAATAATGTCCACAAAGATAAAACTTTTTAGGAAACCAAATGATGTATTGCTGAGAGAGCAGCATGACACTAACTACAGATCCATCACTGCTGAGGAGAGTTCCCTTCTCCTTCATTCCTCTTCCACTTAATCCCTGGCTTCACATGAGACCATTCCACTGACAGCACAAGCAAGCAACAATACACATCACATGCAGCAAGAAGCTAATGTACATCCTGAGCACCAGCGAGCTAATCAGGGGCTTTTTAGACCACAGATTCCCCAGCAATGACCCATCAAAATTTCCCCATCCTAACTGGATGTGTCCTAAAATAGCAGCTGAGATTTCAGCTGGTTTTCATGGAAACTCATAGACCAAAACCTTCACAAAATACAAGCCTTTGACTCAAAAACTTCTGGTAC